ATGTATTCATTAGACTTTTGTATACTGGTGATACAAATAGCTTGATAGTCAATCAGAGACTTAGTGCTCACTGTATCATTAGGAAAACAAACTATGCAGCTAGGATTCAGATCAATGGCAATTTGAAGCTTATATATATATATATATATATACGCATTGAAGTCTTTGAGACAGGTGAAAGATAGCATCACATCCCATTAATCTATAGGATTTGGCCACCATTCAGAACCAGATATGAAACTGAATGCTCTCCAGTGACTAATCAGCGCATTTAATCCAATTCATTGCCGTCGGAACAGCTCAATGGACACCATTTCCTTTGAGGTTGCAGATATGCCTAGGTGATATGTTCCACAGACCATAAAATCCAAGTCTAACAGGCCTTCCTTACAATTGCCTGTAACCAAAGTGTCTTCACAAATAATTAGTTTTGATGAACTTAAATAATGCTGGAAACAAAAATGCATCACATAAGAACTTCCTTGGTCAAATTCAACTCTGAACCTATCGTTATTGTACTTTTAATTTTTGCTTTATTGATCCTCCTTCTTATTTTAACCTTAAATATAGTCTTATAAAGTGATTGACTTTCCGACCCCTTAGTGCTTGGAATTAAGGATGCTCATTTCATAATACTTGTGACTCATCAGGTGTATGAACTTGACTCACAATGAGTTATGATGTTTCCATCTGCATTCGAACCCGAGCGCAAACTGAAAATACCTGAAATACTGAAGTATCCATAAAGCAACCCATTTTCTCAATAATGGCTAATCAATTCGACTCAACCAACGACGAAGACTTGTAGACTATAACATCAAAATCATTTCCATTTTCTTATTCTTCGTTTGCTTAACCAAGTACACAAGACTTAAGACAGTGAGTATGATAACATCAAGAAAATGTTTGTCATCAAAATTAATCTGTGAGTAGTAGTGAATTTCACTCTTCAGTGGAAGTGACTCTCATTGATTCCACATTATCTCATAATTTCTTTCGATAACCCTAAGAAATACATGAAGACTATATTTGGATACTCGGCTAGAGTATGATTAGATTTTAGATCTGTCTGTTTCATATAGCAAGCAGTGAAACGCTACTCATATCATGGTGATGACTGACAGCAATAAACTGTGTGTGAAATATCAACCACAAAATAGTGTTCTAAACAAGTTCAATATTCAAGTGTAAACAAACAACAAACGTTTTTCGACGATAATTTCTTGCTACTTGCTTTTGCTATTAAGTAGTATGAGTATCTGCAAATTTATTTTTGTCTAAAATTACTCAGGTACGTTGTCTTGACTGCAACCATATGTATACTTCAGCATTCGAATTCATTTTTAAATAATTATTAAGGAAAAAAACAAATTTTTCTTTGAGTTTCACCAAAAACTTGATTTCATTGACCAAATCTGTTATCACCTTGTGTTCTAACCATAAAGCTATCCAAAAAATAATTCTGCTTAGTGTTAGAGGAAGAAATGAAATTTCACAATATCAATCGTAAACATACTCCACACATCGATGGCATATCTCGAATGAATCCATCCACTGGACACTGAGATGTATTATCCAACATTCCATGTAGTTCTGGCCAACTGAAGAAAAACAATAACAAAATCAAAGTAGTTCATAGATAAAATTCTTATCTTATTTCAATTTGAAGGTTTATGGAGATCTATTTACTGAAATCAGGTTGATATTCAGCAAGGATTGATATTAGCTAGAGAGCCTTTAGTGACCTGGGAGCACTGAGCGGCTGTTTCTTCCTAGTACGGGACTCTTCAGCAGCTCACATCTACAACCATACCTAGACGAAGCATCTTTCCAATGCTCCCAGGTTTCCGATAGTTCTTCAACTGATGTCAGCCCAAAATTGTAATTCTCTGTTGTTATTCTGGAGTGAACTGATAAACCTTTGTTGGCATATGACCTCCTGTATGGGCGCCTCAATGTTGTCTGACTATTGCTTGTGTCATAATTTACTTGATGGTGGCTAGCAGTAGAATCCAGGGTAGTTGGTTCGATTCTCACCGCTGTCCAGACACATCAGGTTGGTAGGTCACAAATAGGATGAAACGCGCGTCCTGGATTCCACCGGCAGCCACTACCAAACAAATTAAAAAATTCATACATCTGTTGTCTTTCTTTACCGTTATCTTTACCGACGCCCAACACTAGCTGTATTTCTCGACCTGAAGGCGGCATTCGACCCCGTTGATCGAGAAGTCTTATGGTAATGTCTCTCACTAAAAGGCGTGCCAAGTAAGTACATCACCTTACTGAAGGCTCTCTACTCGAACACTTGTCAGCATGTCCAGGGATCTATGCTCGTCGAGTGGTGTCCATCAAGGGTGACCACTATCTCCATTCTTATTCAATTTTATCATAGATATTCGCATGGAAGTCTCCCTCACGTCACCTGATTACACATACGTTGATCTAATCATAGGAGAATTTTCATCACCCCTAGAACGTGCAGATGACATAGTCCTGTTAGGTGAACACGCTGACAAGATGCAGAGTCTTCTGAACACTGAGTGCCAACTTGAGAATGTTTGGGATGCGTTTCTCACCACCCAAATGCAAATTATTGCTCCAGGATTGGTCTCCAACACTTCACTTACCTGGGAAGTAGGATCGGCCCTGGTGGCTGGCTCGGTAGCCGATGAAATCTCTGCACGAATACAAAAGGCTCGATTGGCTTTCTACGACTTATGCAAACTGTGGGGCCATCGTGATATCTGTTTGTCTATTAAGGGTCGCGTGTACTGCACAGCAGTAAACTCTGTTCTACTGTATGGCTGTGAAACATGGCCATTGAAGGTGGAAGACATGAGAAGGTTTCAGGTGTTTGACCACCGTTTCCTTCGTAGTATAGGCCGTAATCCCTGGTGTCACCATGAGAGTAACTCAGAAGTCAGGTGTAGAGTTCAAGGGAGAAGAGGTCAATCAGTTGATGCGGTTATGAACCTTCATCGACTGAGATGGTTGGGATATGTGTAACGTACGCCTAGTTGCCCTCTGCCTCGGCACACAATGTTGGCCGAAGTGGGTTTAGGCTGGAAAAAGGCCCGAGGTGACCATACTAGAACATGGCACCAATGTATGAAGTATTTGACTGTTCGTTTGAGATAGGCAGGGTGATGCAGACTAGGTGGTTGGGGTCCGCAGGATAAGGAAAACCAGTGGTTGGAGATTCTAGGCAATATGGCTGAGAACCGATGTCAGTGGTGCAGATGTATGCATACATTATCCCCATTTCACCATTTTCTCATTCTTCTTTTCCATCTTTTCGTACTTTATATTTCTTTTGACTGAGTTTTCTTATCTCATCTTGCACCTCACTGCCTTTTTACTTGATGTACTGATATGAGCTGTGGCAACTCGGACCGTTACGCAGTAATGCCTGGTCCTATGTTGATACTGTTGGTGATGATGATGATGATGATGATGATGATGATGATGATGATGATGATGATGATGATGATGATGATGATGATGATATGATTAGCTGCTATCTAACTCATTACTACATCTATGTCGAAGCTAACAGACAACCAAGAAAGTGGGGATGTTGATAACAAAAAAATACAAACATACACGTATAAACAGAGTAAGCGTTTTAGGAAAACTCTTTACAGTTAAGCTGTTTTATGGGTAACCAAATATCTGGAGCATCACATGATGTTTAATAGCTCATAGAGAATTGTAGGCCATCTAGAAAATCACAGACAATAAATCTTCTCTCTTCAATTTGAAATTTTCATATGAGGTCAGCAGCAAACAGTAGATTCCTTTAGTATGATTGTTTTATATCATACCGTCGTTAATTCGATCGAATTGATAGGTCTGTATTGCCATATGGGCTCCTGTGAGGATTCCTCGATATTGCCTGTGTTCTAATTATATTAGTGATGGATCGTGGCTGGCAGTGGAATCCAGGATGCGCATTTCGTCCTATTTGGGACTCATCAGCTGGATATACCTGCTTCCCAGTGAGTGGCGTCCTTCCCACCAGTGGTGTAGTGGATAACGCCCTGACGTTTGAAGCGATAGCTCGCGGGTCCGAATCCCGGTGGGAACAACATCACTCACTGGGAAACAGGTACATCCGGCTGACGAGTCCCAAATAGGACGAAATGCGCATCCTGGATTCCATTGCTAGCCACGATCCATCATTAGTAGATTCTTTTGTTCATAAAATGCAACGTGTTTCAGGAAAATTTCAAGGATAAACTATCAGGTGACTTCAGGTGACGTGGCTCAGAATCGATGTCGGCGACACAGATATATCCACAATTTGTCTTTCTCTTAACGACTATGCTGAATTCATCATTTTCGCATTCCCCCTTCCTCTCTTTACTACTTACTGCTTCTTTTGGCCTTTTTTTCTGTACTTCTTCATCTTTCATCCTAGTGCTCTGTCGTTTGATGTGTTAATATGAGGTGTGACAACCTGGACTGCTGTGCAGTAATGCTTAGTCCTATGTTGATAGTGATGATGATGATGAGTGTTAGTAGTAAGGCTGGTATAAAATTACTCCTCATCTTGTTTGAATTTAACTATGATCCCTCAGTCAATTTTGTAAACAGCTTCTTACAAGAATAAACAACAAATGTGTTAGCGAGTTAAATCGAACAAGACGACCTTGACTCTAAATGTGCCGCCCAATAGAAGATAAAAAGAAATAGGCTTGATATTTCTGAGCTGAATGAGTACATTAATTGATTACATTTTATAGTTAGTGGTTACTTAGACTCAACAAGTATCTGGACAAAGTGGCTGTGATTCCATATTAGATTTGTTTATTTGATATATAGCGCACAATGATACAATATTATCATCAAGTAAATATTACTGTATCACTGTGCACTATACATCATATAAACAAGCCTAATATGAAATTATATTCTACCACAATGTCCAAGTTCTACACTTATACTATGGAAAATGGCTGTGAGTAATATAATTTCTACAAAATACAAGGAAAGTTAACAGTGAAGTGCATTCTAGACGCAAAGTAAGAGCAATCTTCAACTCTATCCTACCGAAAAGGTGAACGAAATACCTCAACAATCAAAAATGTCAAAAGATTAACTCTGATGATAATGTTATAGTGAAAACCTAATGAGATGAAATCTATTGGAAGTATGTTGTAGACACACGTTGAATTGAGACAATACTCTATAAAGTACAAATTGGCAGGGACATATGAATCAAATGTTGCTCATCCAGTATGAAACTGAATAGTCTATAAGTGTTTATAATCAAAATCTCGACGTAAATCAGAATCCATAACATGAAAGATTACCAAGAATAATGTTGCACACCATAATCTACAATGTAGAACAAAGCTTTCTAGAAATTTAGTCAAGAAGGCTATAATGAACCCACAGGCAACTTCATATCCACAGTCTTTTCACTTTCACTGAGATGTCAAGATACACACATATTCTTCCGTTCAAACTCTCAAAGAAGTCAAAATTCACCAACTACATTCACAGCCAATCAGATCAAATTAAAAGTCATCAGATATTCACAAATAGTTTAATGTAGCGTAGATAAAATTTGAAAATAAAAGGGAAGCAAAGTTTAACTAACTTACCGTGAATGTGCAACAATCGCCTTCATTGTTTCATAATTTCTATGTTGTAAAGCATAAGTAACAAAGTATAAACCATCTTTGTCTGGTAGAATTTTCGCCTTCGATGTCAATAAGTAATCCAGTACTTCAGCATTATTTTCTTTCGCAGCATAGTGTAAAGCTGTCATCTAGATATGAGTGAAACATAGGATTAAGTGTATAATATATTTTTTTAAGGAATAGGATTTGACAAAGGAGACAAACTATAACACCTGCATTCCCGTGTTAAAAACAAACAGTCAATCGGTAGGAAACCCAACTGGATCTACGTTAGGTTTCTTGCTTACTTATAGTCATTAGTCATTAGTAAGCAAGGCGAAACAGCAGTCATGAGGAAACAGGTGTTCCCGTCGATAATTTCACCCTACTGAAGTCAGAGACTGGAACAAAACACCTAGCTTGATGATACTGTCCTAATTCTTCATAAACCATGACGATATTTAAATTGAGGCATCAAGTGTTCATGTGAGCATAGTACTGAGGACGTAGATGGTCATTTAGTCCTCTCAGGTTTTCAGTAGTTTTCTAGTCATTGTCAATCCGTGATAAGAAGTATTTTGAGTTCAACTAAATTCCTAAATATCGATGAAGTGAATGATTTACTTATTACATACATTTACATAATGTTCACATCACAAACCGATTGATAGGATTCTGTCTCTATTTAGAATTAGATGATAGGAAGTTGACTTTTTTTCAGTGACCATTAATTGGCTGTACTTTAGTCCTACAATGGATAAGTCAGAGTTTAAATAGTTAAGTGATAACATTTCGAAATGTTGCAGTGGGTGACCGTAGGTTCATATCTCTGAGAGAGCTGACACATGCTAAAAACCAGAAAATCTAGGTTAATCAAGTCTTACTACCAACCAACTAACATCTTCACAGTTTGTACATAGTAAAAAAAATATAAAAAAAATTTTTATTCCATAATTAAACTTACTCCATGAAAATTGGTTTGATTAAGTAAAGATGGACTTGTTTGCAGTAATAGTTTGCAAGTTTTTAAACATCCACCAATTGATACATAGTGTAATGGTGTATTACCGATATGACACCTAATGCAATGATACAGAAAATGACTTCATGAGTATAGTAACAGTCTAAATGAACACTTGAAAAGTATATATATAGACACAGAACTGAAAGAGATGACAATCTAACAACTCATTTCTGAGGAGCATATATAGTATAGTTAGAGCTACTTATAAGGATACATATAAGTAGTATATATGACAACATGGAAAGTGATAACAATAGATTGATAAGAAATCAAGCAAACAGAATATACAATATTAAATGAAAATCTAAAGCACGCGAACTGAGCGTAATAGCCTACAGAACAGGAGTTTACTTGCAAATAGATAAATTACTGTTACATATGGGAATTTTACTAATATCAGTAGGTTTCCAGCCAAAGGCTAGAACACTATTTGTAATTGCTAAATGAGCATTCTAACTGTAAGTTGTGGATTCCTTGTGCCATCTTTAATACTGAAATACTTATAGTATTGTAATGTGTAGTAAGATTTCGCAGATCCTCATAAGAGGTTGTAAATCCCTGAAATCCTATGCAACCAATCGTTTTACTTCAGTTTTGAGAAGACCCACACGAAATGATATCAGATTTGGTTGATATTCTATTTTAGAAAAGCTTAGAAATAGTCAAGGCTATTGTAAATATGTGTACAAACCGTTGTATTTTATACATGTTACAGTTGCAATACCCCTTCTGTTATCTTATCTTCTTTTCTACTTACAGAGGGACCGTAAATCAATTTAACTATATTAGTCAAGTTTCCCTACAATATAACTTGCTTAATGGCAACTATAAACGGAATGTAGTACGCATCTTTTGTCCTAATCAGGACTTGTTAGTGTTCCTGGCCAAATTCTAACTAAGCACTCATTGCTTGAAAAGCATGAACATTATCGCTTCAGTTGTTAAGTCATTGGAGCTACCTGTTTTTCAAAAATCTATCTGTAAAACAAGTGTACCAGATCAGATAGACAAAAGACAGCCTAATCATCATTATCAGTGTATAGAAATAAGGGTTGAGACACTTGACATCGGTTGATGATTCTCTCATGTCATAGCTGCTCAATAGGGTGACCAGTTTAAATGGTACTTTAGGTGATCTGGCCTTTTAGTTAAGTTTGTAGAGCTCCGAGTCAGTAACCTGAAGGTCGGTGGTTTAACTTCTGCTTCAGCCCAGATTCTCATTTGACCTTCAATCATCACCCAGTATAAATAATTTGAAGTGTCACTATAAGAGTACTTTCAGCATTCACAAGAACAACGTCTTCTTCAAGAAACGGATAAAGAAGATTTTTCATGGAATCTTGAAATCATAACATCACTGAGGCCAGGCAGTAAATATTAGGTGAATGGCTTGCTTCATCTGTAGGACATCCCTTTAAAATGATGAAACACATGAAATCATACTCACCAGTTTGTTTCTAGTTACGTTTTCCAGTTTAGCACATTCTCATTTGCATAAATTTCTGCTTCTTTTCTATTACTGATGCTTTGCATAGTGTATGCCGTATGCGTACTGGTTTACAGCTTATGCCTACTTTAGTTCAGTCCTTTAATACACTATCATACCGACTGACTGACTGATTGGCTGGCTGGCTGGCTGGCTGGCTGGCTGGCTGGCTGGCTGGCTGGCTGGCTGGCTGGCTGGCTGGCTGGCTGGCTGGCTGGCTGGCTGGCTGGCTGGCTGGCTGGCTGGCTGGCTGGCTGGCTGGCTGGCTGGCTGGCTGGCTGGCTGGCTGGCTGGCTGGCTGGCTGGCTGGCTGGCTGGCTGGCTGGCTGGCTGGCTGGCTGGCTGGCTGGCTGGCTGGCTGGCTGACAATAATGTTGTCACTCATTAGGGCACTCTTCTACCAGAAGTGATTTACAGGTTAGCTGCATACTTACCGAAGACTAGATTTACTAAGTTAATGGCAGCATCACTGTAATTTACCAAGCATTTCAGTTCCATTTAACATAGTTGTACCATGTAATTATTTGAAGAGATAAGCTGTTTAAGCACATATGTAATATCGTGAAAACTTGTCCAGGAATCAAGTTGAAATTCATCACGAACTGACATCAGTTAGAGGATCATCGAAAACTGTGGAATACTGAACACCCATTTCGCGTAGTATAGGACTCAACTTGAAATTCATAAGTCCTAATAAATCTTCAAAGTAAATTATCATCCAGATGTTTTATAAGCCTGTGTGGTTAACAAACGTGACTCTCTGAGGTAGAGATGATGGTTCAACACTCTGCCAATTTTTATAATTCATAATTATCAGTTGGTCTGATCAGATTCCATCTATAACCAACACATGCAAAGATGACCATAGTACCTTACTTGCTAAGGGAACAAAAAAGAAGTTGACTAGTTTCTTTGTGACCTTCGACTGTTTTTCATTCACAATAGTTACTGAATAACCTTCATTTCATGCTTTGTTTCTCCTCAATATCAATGTAATAATAACCATGTTCTCATTCATCGACTGTGAAATTCACCAATAATCTTCACTTGGTCACATCTTTTATCCATGAAGATGAAATAATTCAATTGTAAATGCTTTAAGACTTCATCATGTATGACTAAAATTGGACCATTGGATTCTTACTCCCTAGCTAACTCAATAGTATCGTATCTGAAGATCCTGGGTGAGTACTGATAATGAGTTTCATACAGAGGCGAAATATATGTCCAGTGCTTCCAGGTTATCAATGGTTCTTCAGACTATGTCAGTACGCATTGAACACCAACATGAAATATTCTTAGTTGTTACTGCCACTCTGAACTCATTTGCTGTTCCCATGACTACATTACTCTAACAATATTTGTGTGAATGTAAGATAACAGTTGCATAAATAGGCGTTAAGGGATTATAAGTCTGTGAGGATATCTGGTTGTTCCTTGACTTAAATTTGACTTCTTTATATCAGAATAAACCAATAAGAAGGTTATTTGTCTTGGTAACATATATAGATAACCGTTTTCTTCGCCTAACACTTCCAAAATATCCCTTTCTATTAAGTGACCCCAACCTAGTTACGTCATAAGATGATTCCATTTTTATCCAACATCAAACACTCAGATCAAGTTTACAAAATGACTTGATGAAATTAGACAGTTCATAAACAAATGCCGCTCTGAATAATACGCCTTACAAGTATGATGACTATTATTATTATTATTATTATTATTATTATTATTATTATTATTATTATTATCAGTGTTAATAAGACATTTTAAGCAAGAATTTGTCATCAACTCACTTTCGGAACAGGCAACCATGATCAAGGAATAACTTTACAATTTCTAAATGTCCATGTTCTACTGCCACATGAAGTGGTAGACGTCCAACAGCATCTGGACAATTCATAGCACGCATTCCATGTGATGTGGCCAATAATTTTTCACATGTATGTAATCTTCCAAAATATGCTGCTGTATGCAATGGTGTATTACGTTCATTATCACGTTCGAGAGAAGATGCACCACGAAGAAGAAATGCAGTAGTTGCGCCTAGATTACCCATTTTTGTAGAATAGTGTAATGGTGTTGAACCGTATTTATCTTTTTCATTAACCAGTCTTTTGAATAATACTTCCTATCAAAGGAACAGACATATACATACTTACATACAGCAAATTACCTAGTATTACCGTATTACCGTAGAAAAGGTGAATAACCTACTGAGGCTATTGAATTAAGTCGCCTGGTGGTAGTGAGGACATATGTCAGCATACCTAGTCGCCGCTTGTTTCGAAGACTTATTGGAGTGGGTGGGTAGTATAAATGGAGACAAATTTGTTTGGCAGAAAAAACAGTTTGAAGATAAAGGTTAGTGTGAATATTCAAGCTTTAGAAGATGTCAAGGAGAGAATACATCTGCACCAATATAACCGATTTTCAGCCGTGTCACCAACGATTTCCGTCATCTCGGGGACCCCAACCAATTTGGTCTTCATAACTCCATATGACTCAGACCAGCAGTCAGGGACTTCATTGACAGGTCCCCGGTATTGGTCTAGTCAGTCTGAACCCTCTTTCAACCTAATCTAGCTTCCCCTATCATGACACGTTGACTTGCCTGTCTTGTCTAGAACCCTTAGCCTGGCCTCCACACTACTCACACAGTGATCCCACCAAACGCGATCAATGCTACGAGATCTGTGGTCAAAACCCTGTTCTAAAGATCCTACTTTTAACAGCCAGGTCTCACAGCCGCATAACAGAACAGAGGGGACTGCAGCACGGTATACTTGTCCTTTGATACATAGTCGAATATGCTCCCAGTCGGCACCACGCAAGACGCAAGTTGGCAAACGCAAAATGAGCCTGCTGTATCCGAGATGAGATTTCGTCAGCAACCAGTCCTTTTGGGTTGATGCAACTCCCCAATTAAGTGAAGTGGTCGACACTTTCACTTATTTTACTCCCTATCATTAAATGCGGAGTGGTTGCAAATCAGAGCATTATCTCACATTTGGCAGGTGCCAGAAAAACATAAGACAGCCAAATATACTCAGTTTTCTGCTGAAAACGTTCAGAAGTCCCTCCATTTTTCCAGCGTTTTTATCTAGCAGGATAATATCGTCTGCATACTCCAAGTCATCCAGATGACCTTTAGGAAATAGGTTAATCTCTGTGAAGTCATGGATACCTAAACTTATGTACATCAATATGTTTGTAGAGAAGTTGAATAGAAACGGGGACAGTGAGCATCCCTGGCGGACACCACTTGTGGTTGTCAATTCACATGATAACACTCCATTAACCCTCACACATCTGTGCGAGTTCCAGTAGAGAGTTTTAATACGCACTATATACTTCATCGGTACTCCCTTCACAGTCAGGCAGTCCCATGCCACAACATCTCACCGTCGACTGAATCAAATCCCTCCTTGAGACCAAGGCATATAGTAAGCATTGACCGTTAGCAGATAGGTATACCTGTGTTCCAGAACCCGTGATAGGTATTCTACCTGAGATTTGACACCAATCTGTTCATTAAGCCAATAAATCATCATCTTAGCTATACAGGATACATGTAGGCTTTGTGATCAGAGTCATTACAATGACCTCATTCGATGGTTATACTATCTACTACGGCACAAACTTAGTATCAATAAAGAGATCGAGAATAACGTAAGGATTAGGAAAAGCTTGTTAACCTCATGGGACATATTAAAGAGCCATCATGTTTTCTTTTTGTTTTCAGTAATAAGAAACTCAAGGAAACTTCAGCATTGTAGACATTAGTCATAATCGCGGGTACTATTCAGTATTAAGATAAGCTACTGAACCAAGGATTTTCCCAGTCCTCATCACTTCAAATGCCAGAGTTATCCACTACGCAAGCAAAACACTTTGACGTTAGAAGTAATAGGTACGAGGTTCGGGTTTCAGTGCGAACACCATCTCTTAATGAGATGCAGATGTACGCAGATGATCAGTCCTAAGTAGGGTGAGACGCATCATATGGATTTCACTACTAGTCAACATTCAGGCTTGGTGTCGAGGCAAAATTGCTGGCTATATAGAGATATTTGCAAGGCGGGCACATATGTCAACAGCTACTGACCAGTTTGGTCCAAACAAGTGGAATTCTCTTATCTTCCCCAATACTGATATGAAGAACTGGACTGATCATTCTCGGTTGGCATGTCGGATGTTTTCACAGAGACTTCGATGTAGCTTGTAATCTAAACATGAATATTCTCTGTAGTGACTCTAAGTGAAATCTTTGACATGCACTTCATACTATTTGAGATTCACCAGTTTGGTACACCTACCTGTCAGTGAGTATTAATGTTCCCCTTGGGCAGGTGCCTAATTCGAAACTCTTAAGTGGTATAAGCTATCCCTTAGCTCATCTTAAATAAATTCTGAGTTCTTACATCCTACTCTAATTTGCAGACCCTTATGAATACAACTGACTATCCCTCCTAGGTCCTTCAAGGAAAATCTCCAATGCTTACCCATACAATTTCTTGTTAGAAAAAAGTGTTGGACACAGAACTGTTACTGTCCGGTAACCAAAACTTGGATTATTTAACCTAAAATGAAACCAATAAGAATTTCCTTTGTCGCTACCAATCAAAAATCAGTAAACAAAGCGCTCACTTCCGTGTGGTTACTTCAAGGACATTTTGGTTTCCTGTTTCCATGGGATAACCAATCGGATTGTGATGACTAATTAGATATTTGTCTGAATAATCGACTGATAAAATCTCAGGCATATAAACCTGACAAAATAAACTCAATGAACAATCTTATTGAATACTCATTATACTGTAGCGAAATGATATGTCCCAGTTGGTATATGGTCTCCCTCTATGAAGGCTTCGATACCGTATCAAGTTTCTACATGATATGATTTTCTTGGTGATGTCAAACATTGTAACCCAGGGTTCACTTCCAAAGGGGAGTGCCATCACTCACCAGAATGCAGGGAAATCCAGCTGACGAGTCCTTAATCAGATGAAATGCGTATCCTAAATCCAACTATTAAACACCATCAAGCAGATCATATTTTACCTAATGTTCAAATTCAATCTCATTCTGAATTTCGTCACTTACATCATTCACTTCTGGTAACACAGTCCGAATTCCTGGTCCTCGAAATAGCATTAACAAGTGGACTAGATTGCGATTACTTGAATCATGAGCGTTTGGATTTGCACCAAGTCGAAGAAGTTGAATACACGTTTGAAATGCTCCTTTCATAGCAGCTAATAATAATGGTGTCCAACCATTAGTTTCAGTCATTTCTAACGGTGAACCCTGTTTATAGGGAAATTTAGGAAACAAGTAAACCAAGCCACAATCATATATTGGTAGTTATATATATATATATATATATATATATATATATATATATATATATATATATATATATATATATATATATATATACAGAATTCTGCACTGTATTTGAAAATGCCGCGCAGATGTTTTGACATCAGCTGTAGTTTAAGCCTATATGTTTAAATGTTTTATGTAAGATAGGATCTGATTTCCTAGGTTATGCATCTTTCCCCTGACACCCATCCCTATCATCTTCGTGATTTATACTGATTATTGTCTCAAAAAGAACACTGTTTGCATGGTTATATATGACTAGTGGCTGACAGTTTCGTCGATATTGGGTATAAAAACATTAGCTTTACCCGTCTGAATTTTCTAGGTAATGTAATCAGTTTATCATTAGGGAAAATAGAATGCTTACTGACTGAAAATGGCTTGTTGAACACTTCAATGTTGTCTAGATTTCTATTCTAGTTAAGTGTATCAAAATGTCTTCAGGCTATGACAAATAAGTCAACAAAAAGGCTCCTAAGGTCATCTGAAAAACCTGATGAATTCTTCAAATTCTTTTTTTTAGCAGTAGTCTGATTAGACATGTAAGCATATGCAAATGTAGTTTTAAGGTTGACTTTTCAAATAAATACCTAGTTGGCATTTTTAAAAACCACATTGTTCCTTAACAATTCATTGAGTGACCTTGAGTTGTCCATCATAATTTCTAACCAATAGGAGTTTCCTATTTTATGATCTAAGCATGCATCATACAGAAATGGAAGAGATTAAGTTTTTTTATGTGATTTTTAATGTCGTTTGTTAGAGCTTCAAGGTTTTCTGTGAGTTCATTTCCTAGTAAAATCAGTGGAATAATAAGATAAACATAAAATTCATATGAGGTTATGATTTCATATGAAATCGTACATCCTAATTTTAAACCAGAACTGTAATTCTATTTTCATAGACGCTAATAACTGAAGATTATTACCTGCTAACAGTGGAATTTGTTTGGTGCTCGTTCAGTTCAGTGTAAACCAGTCAACTAAGTCAAAATATCCGCTAACTAGTTAAATACTAGTTGCAGTTGAATGAGAAGAATACCAAAGCCTGCTGACGAATATAACTTTTATACCTGTATTCTAGAAGTCATATTTTAGACCAGAAATCGGTGATAACTAGACTGAGATCAAGGGATATCTATGAAAAGGAAGGGATCATCAAAACAACATTGAAACTTATTTCAAACCATCACCCTCAATACGAAATAACTGTTAACTGAAATACTTCTTCAGGGAAACATCACTGGATTTTACAAATGTAATCAAAGCTCGAGATTAGTAAGGTGTTATATGACTCGAAATGTTCACACAAACGGAGAGGGAGAAAGGGAATACCAATTAGAAAAGTACCATACTTAAGGAAGGAGGTTCACAAGTGAAATATCTGAGAGAAAAGTCAATACTGCTTAAGAAGTAAAAGCCACCTTGGATTTACTGAGGTTCCTAAATGTGTTGAAGTCTGATTTAATGAACTAAATAAAATTATCTTCTTGCTTAACTGTTCAGTGGCCATCTTGAAGCATCTATTAATACAATTATGTTTTTAGCTTTAAAGATATCTAGTAATCTAATATCTTCAATTCCATTTAGTAAATTCCCGATATTACATAATCCAGTATTGTGTTTATCATGAAACCTTTAGCCAGATACCAAGTCAATATCACTATGGAACCTCACAGCAATCCGCAATGGTTGAATTTGTTACACATCATATCAGTAAACCGAGAAAGTTAAAGAGAAAGAAAATTCTAAACAAATATTACCGAAATTCGTAGAAAGTTATGAGAGGAGAAGAAAAGGGGTCAATCAACTAACAAATTAGTTAGTCAGAGCCAATCAGTAGGAAGCCCTGCTGTATTTAGGTTTTGAGCTTGTTGGCACTCGTCAACAAAGCTTATCCGCATGCTATAAAGAACCCACGTCCCCTATGAAACTCAAATATGCATCACCCAGTGTCATAGTCAGCGGTGTAATAACTGAGATATTTAAGTTACTATTGATCTCCTGTTTGACAAGATTAGGTATATTGATCGGTTACTGGAAAGCAACCAGTTTCATGTTGTCTGGTTCTTAACGCTGACCGGATTCTATCAATCACTTTTACCATAGCTATTAACCTAGAGGGATCACTATCGAGTTTCATTCTGTGCCACTGAGATGGATTTCGTGCCATGCCATTTAGAATCTTCAAGCATAAATTTCGTTTTTCATATAGAATCCATCTTAAAGTAAAATACATCATGGTCTGGTGAAAAACTTTAGTCTAGTCACTTAATAAGCTTTTCCCAGCCTAAACAGAATTCGTTTAATTTTATCTGGAGATTCGGCGCGGAATCATGCTCCTGTCCACACCCAGAAAAATATTAATCTCCATCATTCTAGAGAGACCAAAAAATGCTCTGGATTCAAGATTATGGCTGGAACAGGCTGGCTGACTTCAGGAAAAACAAATCATGTGTGGATCAAATTGCAACGTTACGCTACGCATAGTCATAAAACAGAGCACAGAAGGGCAATCAACACCCTACCTTAACTTCATCGATTTTCAAAAGACCTTCTATACCGTCAACCAAGGCGTAATTTGGCAGGCAGCTGCTTGAACACTATGCTTTTAGTGCCATGAACCATTATCAACCCCATTCAACAGCAGCTATATGCTATGTGAGGATGCTACATGTCAAGTGATTCACAAGGGAAAGCTCAGTGATGCATCTGAAGTGAAGACAGGAAGAAGTAAGACAAGGTTGCCACCTAAAGTCAGCGATGATCTTCCTGATTATCGTTGACTGGATCTTGCAAGAAACTGTGAGGAGCTATGAGAAGATGGTCATACGCTGGCTGGACTGATGTGATGAAGAAACCTCAGAAGAAGATTTGGATTTCGCCGCCGATGATGATTTATGTGTAATGTCTTGTTGCAGAAACTCGAAAATCTACAGGCGAAAACCAACTAGATGACGGGAGAGGCAGCAAATGAAGACGGAACTTCAGGTAAACGTAGAGAAGACTCAGGTGATGAAGATACTCAACCAACAACAACAAGCACCAATCACCATCAACGGGAGAAACGTAAAGGAGGTTGTCTCTTTCACCTACCTAGGCAGGCCAGCATCGTTTCAACTACAGGTGGCACAGGCGCAGATGAAGACGTCAAAGCCACGATCAAAAAGACAGGAAGACAGGCCATCATTAATCTAAAATCAGTGTGGAGTTCTACTGCACTGAACTACAGTCAGCATAAAGCGTGAGCAACATCCCGATTTACAACACTAATTCACTCAACTCACTGCTTATATGTCATGGTTCAGAAACTTGGTGCATCACGGAAAGCATTTACAACAAACTACAGACACACATCATCAACAGCTGCCACCTACACTGGCTCACTCCATACTGACGTTGAAGATCAGATGACCAGAATAATAAGAATAAGCAACAAGGAAGTCACTCTGGTCTGGCTGGCAAGGAACCACCTGACCAAAAACCCATCTCCCAACAAATATGGAGTGGAAGGAAGTGGAGATGGATTAGATTAGACATACACCGAGAAGGAAGATGGTTTGCGGACATCACGCCTCAGGTCAAGCCGTCGAATGGAACCCACGTGGGAAGCTATGAGTCAGGCGTCCGAGGCAAGTGTGACATGGAGGAGATGGTGTGAGAAAGAAATGAAAGCTTTTGAGCAGTCTCGGATCCATGTTGAAAAGACTTCAGAGAAAAGAGTAAGATGGCGACATCTTACTGAATCCCTATGTTCCACTAGGAACCCAAAGGACAAATAATAACGATAATATCTGGAGGTATGAGGAGATTTATTAATTGGTTTTAGGTTGGAACTCACCATGAACTGACATTAGTTGGAGGAACAATGGAAACCTTGGAGTAGTGGACAACCGTTTCGCCCTAATATGGGGCACCTCAGTAGTGCGCACCCGCGACCCCTCCAGGGATCTAGCCCGTGACCTTCAGGTTCCATGGCCAGCATGTTACCACTGAGCCACTGGGTCAGAGTCCAGTGGTCCATATTTCCAACCTCTGTCAGTTCACGACATAGAGCAACCGCTATCCAATGTAGTCGTTGAGTATTTGTCCTCATGGTTATCAAGTTTACCCCACCGGTCAGGACTTCTCACTGGAATTTCTGGAATCACCTCTCGTGACCAGTGGGGCAAACATGATAACCATGAGGACAAATACTCAACGACTACATTGGATAGCGGTTGCTCTATGTCGTGAACTGACAGAGGTTGGAAATATGGACCACTGGACTCTGACCCAGTGGCTCAGTGGTAACATGCTGGCCATGGAACCTGAAGGTCACGGGCTAGATCCCTGGAGGGGTCGCGGGTGCGCACTACAGAGGTGTCCCATACTAGGATGAAACAGTTATCCACTACTCCAAGGTTTCCATTGTTCCTTCAACTGATGTCAGTCTACGATGAATGCCAACTTGAAATGATGAACTGAACTTGTAATTTTAAATGTTGTGAATACTCCTCTATATATCATCGAAGTATGATCTGTAACTTGTCACATCTCGAATCAATACATCAAGATACAGCCCCTAAAGACAAAAAACAAAAATCAGGATAATATAGTCCAAAGTGGTAGGAAACTATGAGAAGAGGAGATGAAAAAAAAGGGTGAAAAACGAAATGGGGTTATTCCAGTTACAATGAAGATATAATGTGAGTGTATCTAAGTCACTACAAATGATACTCAGTAACATAGATCCTTCAACCATCATTAATATTTTTGTCTTGAATTCCAATAGCTCAAGTCAATGGTTAAAGAATTCAGAGTTCTATCACTCATGATCACCGTTACATACAAGAACACAGTAAACTGCTAACCAATACACATACCACTTAATACACGTTTGTATATTTCATCAACAACATAAATAAGGTAAAATGGTAGAATTCAATCTCTGACAAGATTTCATTGGTTACCAACCGATCAGGGTTGGTACAGGAAGTGATCAGCCTTATCAATCAATTCACTGTGTACGGTCGAATAAAATGTCAACTTAGACTAGTCCTGAAACAATACATTTGAACATTCTTAGACTATCACTGGATCTGATCAAAAGATTTTACATCTAGTCGCTTACGTCTTTAGCTAACAGTACTCTTAGTGTACTTTTCACCTACCAAGGAAAATCTAATAAATCGACCAAGTGATGGGAATTTGGACAACTAGAGTACCACCACCATAATTTTATGTATCATAAAAATGAAAAAGGATGAGTGCAATTCAGTAACAATGACCAGGATGATGCATTAAGCAATGAATCAAACATATTACATATGAGGCTGATGATACCATCTGCTTAGTCAAATATTGGTTGTGAAATGAGGTTCGAACACATGACCAACTGATTAGAAATCAATTGCTGAAACCGATGATCTGGATCTCCACATCTGTTTAATTAACAAGCCTTTAAAATACATTTTAAGAGAGAGAGAAAGGAAGAAAGAGAGGGGTTTGGGAAACACTGAGCAACTTACCGTTGAAAAGGCCTTTGACAGCGTCGACAGAAAAGTAATTTGGCAGTTGCTTCAACAATATGGAATGCCACAAACCTCTATCAACCTCATTCAACAACTATATGAAGACGCCACATGCCAAGTAATTCATAATGGGAAGCTCACTGGTGCCTTTGAAGTGAAGACAAGAGTGAAACAAGGCTGTCTACTGTCACCCATCATATTCCTGATTGTCGTCAACTGGATCATGCAGCAAACAGTGAGGAGAGAGAAGAGGGGGATACGCTGTTTGACCGCGGAACAGAACCTAGAAGATCTGGATTTCGCCGATGACTTGTGTCTAATGTCACACAAACTTGAAGATCTGTATGCGAAATCCAACAAGTTGACAGAAGAGGCAGGTCAGCGAAGACGGGACTTCAAGTGAACATAAAGAAGATGGAGGTGATGAAGATAACCAACCACCACCAAGAACAACAAGCTATAATCACCATGAACGAGAGAAACTTAAAGGAGGTTGTCTCTTTCACCCATCTAGGCAGAGCAGCATTGTTTCAACTACAGGCGGTAGTGGCACGGATGAGAACGTGAAAGCCAGGACCGGAAAGACAGCAAGACAGGTGTTCATTAACCTGAAACCAGTGTGGAGACATTCTGCACTCAGCATGTGGAACAAGATTAGGATTTTCAACACCAAATCAGTCAAGTCAGTGCTTCTATGTGATGGTTGAGAGACTTGTTGCGTTACGAAAGGGATTTCCAACAAACGACAGACATTTATCAACAACTGCTGCCTACGCTCACTCGTTACTGAAGCTGAGATGGCCAGAACAATTAGAATAAGCAACAAGGAACTCTGGCTGCCTGCCAACGAACCAACCAACAACCTATCGCTCAACAAATATGGAGTGGAAGGAAGTGGAGATGGACTGGGCATACACTGAGAAGGACAACTGGGGACTTCACGCGTCAGGCCAGGTACTCGATTGGAACCCAGATAGGAAACGACGAGTTGGGTGTCCGAGGTGAGGGTGACATGAAGGAGATCATGTGAGGAAGAAATGGGAGCTTGTGGGCAGTCGTGGAACCAGATTCAAAAGTTTGCAGAGAAGAGAGTGGGATAGAGACGTGCTACTGAATGCCTATGTTCCATTAGGAACCCAAGGGACAATTAGTAATAGTAATAATAATAATAATAATAATAATAATAAATAAAAATGAGCAACTTACCTGTTCAACTAAATAGGTTACAAGTTTCTCATGATTATAAACTGCTGCCAGATGCAATGGTGTATAACCATTTTTATCTGGCATTTGTAGTACAATTGATTTAATCGAAGGATCTGCATCAAACATCAATTGAACACACTCCAAATCATCTTTCATACATGCATAATGTATCGGTGTAGAATCATCATTCTGTTTAGCTAGTATAGATGCATTTTTTTCTAGACAAAACTGTTTTAATAACAGAAAGGAAATAGTTAATTCAATGAAACAGTAATAAATATTTAAAGAAGGAGAAATGAATAGAAATACCTCAACATATAAACTATCAAAGTACTTAGCATCGATATTGTGTCCTGTTAGAAACCGTTCAAATTATAGATTACTCAGTTCTTACAAGTTAAAACAAAGACTTAATCAGTTATGTATAGAAGAGGATGAAAAAAATGGTTAATTTCGATGTACCAAGTCTTTATATTAAAATACTAACCAATATGGTACTGCAGGCAGTCAGAAATCGACTGAATACTCATAGAACCAAGATATCAGTTGGTGAAATCATAAAAGGTGAACATATATACCTGGCCTCCACAGTCTTCAAATTTCAAGAGAAAATATGCAGATAAATAGGAGTAGTAATGAGATTATCAACATCTCCATTTGTAGCTGATATATTTATAGATAGTTGAGAATACATGGCTATCCAAGCGTTTAATCCTTTACCTGAGATATGGTAGTGATATGTAAATGATACATTTAATGTGTTGAAATCGGAACATATCGACAATTTCCTCACACAGTTAAACTCAGTAGTAGGCGCAATCTTAGAAAATGAATAAGGAGAATAACCTGTGTTGGATTGCAGAATGAAATAAAGGATAGACACTGGTTTGAATACTACCGTGTATAGGAAACCGGTACATTCCAACAGGTATCTAGACTTCAGGTCATCTCATCCAATATCAGTTAAGGCATGTTTAGTTAAATGTCTAAATGATAGAGCTAGAAAACTGATTAGTCAGTACAACAATTTAAACAAAGAATTGAAACAACTGAAAAGAACGTTCATAATTCATCATCATCCTCTACAGTTAATTAACAGATTCGTACAAAACACATAAGAAACAAAATGATAACAGTAACACAAGTAGAAAAGATTTCAAAGCCTCCATTATGTTACCCTATAAGGAAGGTACATTAGAAACTTGATATAGGATTCTCAACAAAGCTCGTATAAGGGTGGGATTTAAACCTACATATTCACTCAGAGATAAGCTTTGTCAGATGGCTTAAGGATCCGATAGAACCAATTCAGCCAAATAATCTAATCTATAGAATTCCATGTAATGACTGTGAGTCATGTGAGGTCAAGTATATAGCTCAAACTGACCGGTTGGAGTCAGTTGGAATGGTGGAACATAGTAATTTAGCTAAATATCGAATGACAGACCCGAATAAGATCAATAATCTAGAAAAACACTTGGCTATTGCTGGATGGGATAGAACCATTGTACTGAAGTCGAATATAATTAGGTGGAAAGAGAGAGAGAGAGATTGATTACTGAATCTCTATTCATTGAATCAACACGCAACACATGTTATAAATATGATTAAACACCTATACCAGAGATATGAAAGATTTGACTGCCAATAAAACAGAGAATATGAGACGATAGAAGTATAAAAAGCAGATGTTGAAAGAAGTGTGATTACTTAGCTTGATATGATGATTATGACCAATAATTTATGTGAAAATGTCATCCAGTTAGTAATACTGTGTCAGTGTGTGCTGTATATCAAATAAACAAATCTAATGTGAAAGCATAAGCATAAATTTATTCTCTTTTATGCAGTAGACAGCGAGTGAGGCAAACACCTATTGTGTTAGGGGTTAATGATACAATTACCTGACTGTCGAAACCTTGTTAGACGAAGCAATGTTCTAAAGTCAGTTGGCTACAGGTGCACAGTCACAGTACTATGCATTACAGTTCTAAAAGCCATATTTAGATTCATCTACTGTATACTGAAGTAAATGTAGATTTTTAAGTTTATATTGTTTACCCAAACCTCTATTGGTAAAGTGAATTTCAAACTTATGAACAACTGGGAATGATGGATAAGGGGTTATCAATAGAGTACTAAATTCACATTTCATCCTATTTCGAACTTATCAACTGGGTGAACTCACCTCTAACTCAGTGATATCGTTTGTACTGAAACTCAAAAAACTACAAGCTATGGCATCACAATTAACAAGTTACAATTCATCTGTCTTAACAGGGTAACTTCAGATCAATAAGCCATTTCATGAACTCAGAGTGTATCATTTCTACTTATCGTCATTATTGAATTCTTGACTTGCAAAATTAGAGAAAGATTACAATTAACTAGGATGTTTAACCTTTTTAGTGTGGTTGCTTGTATGATACCATCTTTGATTGGACTGAATTGATCAGTCTCTAATGGCATATGGGCTCCTGTGACGATGCCTCGATATTGCCTGTGTTTTAATTATGTATAGTAATGATGGGCAGTGGCTAGCAGTGGAATCCAGGATACTCATTTTGTCCTATTTAAGACTGGTCAGCAGCATGTACCTGCTTCCCAGTGAGTTCCCACGGTGGTGTGGTTGATAACGCTCTGGAGTTTGAATCGGCCGCTCCCGAGTCCCGGTGGGAACAATATTACGCACTGGGAAGCAGATGCATCCAGCTGACGAGTCCCAAATAGGACGAAATGCGCATCCTGAATTCCACTGCTAGCCGCTACCCATCATTACTATGTTTAACCTTTTGTTGATAATTTTCAAATCAAGTTAGATTCTAGATACTTTATTGAATCTCGGTTTCGGATTTATCAATCCTACTCAATAAAATTGACGTACGATCTTTAAAAAGTGAAATTAGTCTACACGTTCTAATTGTAACTGAGAAAGATAGTCAGTGCAGCTTAAACGCTGACCTCACATTACAAAACTAACAAACAGATAGTGTACGCTATACAATGTCCTTGATTTGATACAAGAAGCCTTTACACAAGCAGACACCAGTCACTTCCCTTCTGTATTCCACCTACTGGAAAGGTTGAAAGTACAAATGTTAAAGTGATTTTAACTGGGTAAGATATATCTGTTACAACTCAATAGTCTCATGGATTAAGAGTTTGGAACGATAAATGCAGAGTTCTGTTCCTAACGCTTATGTAAACTTACCAGGATTCAGATTTATCGAAAAGATAAGAGTCTTAATGTCGATCGCATGGTGGTTTTCATCATGAATTGACGTCCGTTGGAGAGAAATATTGTTAGCCTGGGAGCAATGAACATCTGTTTCATCTTAATATAAGATTCATCAGCAAGTGAATTTTGTTAGTATCTCAAAGAACTATATGTGGATACATATACACAGGGAGGAGTTATCGTGATATGCAGTTAAAGTAGGTTGAACATGTACCTAAGTGGCTACAAAAACAAATGACCTCAACAGATCCGATAAGTGCAGGTGACAAACATCCATCTTCGTCTATCGCTAAACATATAGTAGAAACTACCTATAGGATCGACATGAAAAGTACTAGAAAAAAGTGGTCAGAGCCAAGTGGTTAAGTTAATTGAAGCTTTTGCCAACTGTAAATTCAAACCCCTTACTTTATGTATACAAAAATGATTTGTACTCACGTTCATGTATGATCAGATTGATCGAAATGTATACCACTAATAAATCATATGTTTCAGATAATCATCGTTTTCTCATTACGCTGTTGAAACCTAATGGGTTATCTTATTAATTGTTAGGGTCGAGCTTAAAAGTTAATCACACCCAAAAGTTATATAATGGGGTCAAGTGTAGAAAAATTATTTGACCTTATTAAGTTAATGATATAGATTGATTAACTGTCGCAAGGTTACTAATTTCGTGTTATTTAGCTGTGAAAGCTGACCGAATTTCTGTCAAAATTATGCAGTTTAGCCACCTACATAGATGACTGCATAAAATTTGGTCAGAATTCAAGACCAAATACACTAAAATTACTTACTCTCCACTGACCAGCTGACGTGTTTAATCCAGTCTTACAGAAGGGGACGGTCACAGCTGGAATAGCTCAGTGGTAACGTCAATGATCCCAACACTCGGTGATATGAGTTTGAACCCCGTGAGGACCTCAGTTTCTTTGAGGTTGCAGATATGCCTTGCTGATGAATGCCAAAAAGCACGGAACTTAAGGGGAAGCGGATTTCCTATCGAGTTCTGCCTACCAACTAGCAATTCTGACGTATTTAGGCTAAGAAATAGCAACCAAAACGTCCATCAGGTACTTGCATACTATTCAACGGATGATGAACCGATGGACGTAATCAAGTCAGATAAAACTGTTAGCAGTGGAATCAATAGCGCTTGTTTCGGCCGATTTCGGCCTCCTTATCTGGATGTACCTACCTGCACTAAAACTTGAACCGTGAACCAATTGCTTCATACAACAGAGAGCTAACCACACTTGAAGCAGTTAAGAACAACACCATTTACTGGAAGGCATACACATCCAGCTGACGAGTCTCAGGTAGGACGAAATCCCCGTCTAAGATTTCACTCCTAGCCATTATCTATCATTACGATCAATATGAAATCGCTGGTAATATCGAAGTATCCATGTAGCAGCCTATGAACCAGTAGTGGCAGATCAATTCGGTCCACTAGAACTGTTTCCCAAAACCAAAATATTCAAACTGCAGTTATGTAACCCACTGGGCACCATAAATAATAATAATAATCGCCTTATTCTGAAAGCTGTTTCGGGAATACTCAACAGAACTTTCGGCATGTCATATAGCATCAGTTGGACAGAGAGTTTATATATATATATATATATATATATATCAGAATGAAATTAGTAGAAATTACATGAAAAGAAAGATAAGAATATTCACTCCATCTACAACCTCCTTGGAAATGCAGCAGTAACCTGAGCAAACAATCACATTATCAATTAGATTCCTAATACATAAATAATAACATGGTGTGTACTCATCAATTAGTTTACTTTCAAAACACAAATTGACTAGTTATTTCATTTGTAATACTTTCTTCCTCGTAGACGGGACGACCTAAATACGTACGATACTGTAGTCTTTATATTTAGTGGTGTATGCATAAAGTCTTATGTACTTGCTCCTTGTCTTTCCAGATGACCGACAGTAGGGAGCTTCAAGTGAAGAGGATAGTGGTCATCTGATAAAATAGCTCTTGACAGATGTTTATATGAGTTAAGATGTTTATCCAAAACAGTTGAAATCAGAACGTTTAGTGATATATCACTAGTTCTGCTGATAATCTTCAAAGTTCTACTCTTGAACGAGATCAGTTTTCTGTTCACCAAGTAGGTGGTAAGTGCTGAAATGCCACCGCCTAACCTCGGTGGGAGGATTATGTTATTAGTTAAACAATAAGTATGAGATGCGGTTGGTTTTAGCGGGATAACCCAGGCTGGCCACTCACTTCCAACCATTCTAAGGAGGTAAGAACAGATACTCGTCACTTTAAGGCCTTATCTGTCAGTACGAGCCCCTCACCTATTCTACACACCATTTCCATGCATCTGAACCTAACTGGAAGCCGTTGGCAAAGAAAGTTTAGCTGGCCTACAAAAACGTATGGCTTATAAAACCAAAGTAGTGACTTGGCCTACCAATGTTTATTTTATTAGATTGAATGAAGTTGATTAGATCAACAGTAGAACGTGTCACATAAACGGTGTTTCAAAATTTCCTTCTTCACCGGTTCATATATCTCGAGGAGTCACTATGAAACTGAAAAGTAAGATGAATTAATCATAACTAATATTGGATGGAGATGAAAACAATCGGAATTTTGAAGATGGCAGACAGTAAATACATTTGTGTCCTACATCATCATTATCTAAACTTCAAGAGATTAAAAGTATCAACAGTCAGACAAATAATCAATCTACTTTTCAACATCAACAACTTCAAAAAAGCTCATTCTATCACTTGTGTAATCACAATCCTATACCAATCTTAAAGAAGTTTTCATTACAGATCAAAATAAATCAGAAAACAATTGACTTATGATTAAAACTTCTTTGGAATTGATTGAATATCGGTATACTTCGAAACTGAACAACAATCAGATATACTGTAGTGATTTACTTCAGGATAAACTTCGTGAAGTTTCAGTGACAAAATATAATTTATAAGTTCAATTAAGGTTTGTATAAGGGATATATACTTCTCGACAGCATTGTTGTAATATCGCATAATAGCGTTAATTAACTGAGGTTGAAAAAGATAAACTGTTGGATTCTAGCCAAGTGACTGATTGGCAAAATGCTGGTAATAATAATCACCTTATTCTGTAAGCTGTTTCGGGAATATTCTACAGAATTTTCAGCATGTCATATAGCATCAGTTGGACAGAGACAGTTTGTATATACATATACATCATAGAATGAAATAAGTAGAAATTATATGAAGAAAAGAAAGATAAGAATATTCACTCTATCTACAACTTTCTTCAAAGTGTACAGTTAATTTAGATAGACAATCAAATGATCAATTAGGTTCATAATACGCAAATAGTAACATACTCATCACTATCATCATCTTCAATTAGTTTGCTTTCAAAAACACAAATTGATTAGTTAGTTCATAACTAATACCTTTTTCATAGCACAGCAGATGGGCCAAATACGTGTGGTATTGTAGAGTTTTTATATTTAGTAATATGTGCATAAAGTCTTATGTACTTGTTCCTTGTCTTTCCAGATGATCGATACACAGAGAGCTTTCAGTGAAGAGGATACTGGTCATCTGATAAAATAACTCCTCTTAGATGTTTAATTGTGTTAAGATGTTTTGGTGCACAATTGTTTTAACTAGAAGGTTTAGAGATACACCACTACTTCTGCTGACAATCTTCAAAGGTCTAGACAATATAGTATAATCTTTTATTAATAACCCAGGGAACAATAGAAGAGAATAGGCAATATGCAGGAGTATATAGGAAAACACAAGAGGAGAAGCTAAGTTCTACCAGATACCCTCAACTTCCTAATATAGTCAGTTAGGTGAAAGATCTTTTTGGAAATCAGTAATATATGAGAAGACTGTGTTAATGAAAAAATAACCACAAAATGCCTACATCTAACTGAAATGAATCACATCCTATGGGTTATCTTTTGAAAGTCTTTCAGCTTAATAAAGCATAAATTATTAAGGATGGTAACAATTGTTACTTGTGAGTTATTCAACACACTGAATCTTTGCCAACCCCCCCCCCTCCTTAGTAGGTGTTGGCTAAGGTAAACAAAAGAGACTAGATCCTCAAGTACATACCGATTGTTTATTGTCATATACTTACTTTAACCATATCTGAATTCCCTGATGTAACTGCTGTATGCAATGGAGTTTCACCTTCACAATCTCTTAAATTGATCAAATAATTTTCCATAGTATTACTTTGTTCATTCATACGTTGTAATGATCTAGCTAAATGTATTAATTTTTTTTTCATTTCAGGTAATTTCTCATTGAATTGATTTTCTAAATCATGATTATCTTGTCTACTAATTTGTGATGATGTAATATGATTGATTTCTGATGATATTGGTGAATAATTGTTGTAATTATATAATGATTCATTCACCATTGACATTATATTACCTTTGTCTTCATTCAATTTTGCCTCCATTTGAAATAGTGCATTTAAACACTTATAACTGACATTGGCAACTGCAACATGTACAGCATATGTACATTCTAAATCACAAGCAAATATATTTCCACCTTTATCTAACTAAATAAAAATAAAAGATAATTTTTATAAAAAAATAATTTTTCGTATTAAAAGTTAAAAATATTTAATTTTAAGAGAGTTGTGGGGATTTTAGAAATATTTTAAGTTATTATTCATCGTAGACTGACATCAGTTGGAGGAACATTGGAAACCTGAGAGTAGTGGACAACAGTTTCGCCCTAATATGGGACACCTAAGCAGTGCGCACCCACGACCTCATTAGGGATTGAACCCGTGACCTTCAAGTTCCGTGGCCAGCATGTTATCATTGCGCCACTGGGTCAGAATTCAATGGTCCATATTTCCAACTTCTGTTAGCTCACGATATAGCACAACCGCCATCCAATGTCATAGTTGAGTAACTGTCCTCCAACTGATGTCAGTCTACGATGAATAGTAACTTAAAATATTTCTAAAATCCCCACAACTCCCTCAAAGTTCAATTGAACTGGTGCCCATTGGTGACTAGCTTCGAGAGGTATTCCTGAAGTTCCAATGAGAAGTCGTGACCGAAGAGGCAAAGCCTAATGGTTGTCAGGACATTGGGTGGCGGTTGCGCTATATCGTGGGCTAACAGAAGTTGGAAATATGGACCATTGGATTCTGACCCAGTGGCTCAATGGTAACGTGCTGGCCACGGAACATGAAGGTCGCGAGGTCAGTCCCTGGATGGCGGAGTCGTGGGTGCTCGCTGCTGAGTTGTCCCATACTAGAACGAAACAGCTGTCCAGTGGTCCCACGTTTCGAATGTTCCTCCAACTGATGTCAGTCTACGATGAGTAATAACTTTAAAATATTTCTCTCTTTTTTAAAAATGAACTTAAATCTTTATTCCAGTTGCATCAACTTTGTTGTTTGTACTATTGATATATGGGGTCCTATGCGGATACCATAATAACTGTCCAAATAGTCATTACGCTGTGGTATGCTTAGTGGGGAGCAGTGGAATCCACTTCATGCTTTTCGTTCTATTTCGGACTCATCAGCTGCATCAAAGTGAGTGATAATGTCTCCATTCAGAGTCGAAACTAATACCCATCTTTTCAAATACCAACTCACTACCCGCTAGACCACAGACGTACTACAGTCACCTCTTGATACTCGGAATTGCCCGTTGTTATACAGGGTTGAACTGCTGGATCACCGTTGGCAGATAGGCTCCTATGCGGAGGCCTCCATACTGCCCGAATATTCAGTATGTTGTAGCCTGCAGACTACTCTTACCCTGGATCCCACTGCTAGACACCAAGAAGTCTGCAACGTAAGTGCATCAAATTTGATAACAGATATTTATTGCAGACAAATGGTTAAAAAGAGTGCCAGATGTAGCTCGACATTTACTAAAGTTTCACTGATCCCATTTTTTAGTATGGTCTCTGAAGTAAGTGATATGATACGACACAGCTCTGTATTTTGATGTTAAACGATGACAGTCAGTTGCCAGGAAACTATGCTCGAACTAGGTTTTGGTGCGTGTTGGCACATAACAGCTAGTCGTATTTGATGTCATGAAGAAAATAGTAATCCCCCAGTGATTGCAACTTACCTCATTTAATGCTTAAGTCTGAGACTTCGCCACTACATCAATAAGGTTCACTTTTCTAGATTAGAATGTATCTAATGTCAAACTTTCTTATCTCAGCAGTGAGTTGTGTAGATCCGAATTGGAGACACGGTTGTATACAGGCTGTGCTGACAAACACCGAAAAGCCCAAAACCTGGGTACAGGGGTTTCTGTAGACTTACTTCCAACGTCAAAAAACACCAAGAAATGTACTGTCCTGAAGTCGACTTGAGGTTCAACTACTAAGAAATGCTAAAGCAGATTTTTTTTCATGATACTAAGGGTCTCTCAACTTTATACTCTGTTCTTATGATGGAATTTTAAGTATATAAGCTTTGTGTTCCAGAATGAAATATAAGATTGATACGTAGCGACAAAAGGCAGCCAATAGGGGAGTTGTTTTCAAGTCATGATCAGATCACGATTTATGCATGCATTGACATAATTATCCGATTGGACGAATTCGACGTCATACAACAAGTTGGATTGGTTCATTTATGTCTTCACTTTCTGAGAGTTTTGTAAATACATATATGTCATGTATTCGCCTGAATAAAAGTTGTAGTTGCTCCTGCACTTCACCGACAGTCTTTTTCTTCTGATTCTCCGTGGCTCAGTGAAGCAGAAGGTGTTGAAGGAGGTCAATCATAAAACTATTCAGTTGACGTGTCTATTGAGTCTCAGTATCATCATACCCACATCCGCAACCCCACTCGTCCACAACAAAGATAACAAATATTTCAAGATATTTGTCTGTAAAATACTACAACTATTGAAATTTCCTCTGCTAAATTTCTTCCTATTCTCAGCCTACTTGATCATTTTGTACAGGAAGGTGTGTTTTTTTAATACAGCAAATTATGCTGAAAGTATTCTTGACAGGATCATTTTATTTCAGAAAAGTGATGTTATTCCACTTCATTCTTACATTTTTTCAAGGGAACAAAATAAACGAGATTAGACTAGATAAACACAATATCATCATAACAGCGAACTGTTCAAGTTATATTTCAGATTGGGTTGACCAATCAGATTCACTTTTACACTTTCATGGTCACTTGACGTATTTAGCTTTTTTTTGGAGTAATTTTAAAGGGTATTCTAGTGACTTCTAAGTACTTCATATTTATGATATCCACAAATCTTGTTAATCCTGTAATTTGGTTGAAAATATTGGGTTTTTTCTTAAAAGTAGTATGAACACTTTAGTATACCCACGAATGACCAACTTTAAGATCATTAATTGATTAACCTTGCTAGCATTATACAGCCGGCAGCAATCAAGAGTAGTAGGCAGAAAGAAAAACGCTAACCAATTAAATAACCTTGGAACAACCAGTCGGAACGATGCTTCAAGGATATCTTTTGCATTTTTTGAACTTGCTTGTAGATTATAATCGTCTTCTCTTCTCCGGGTAATAGCTTGTATAATATGTTGTGCAAGGATTTGGTTGGTTCGCGTGTTACTCTGGTACCGAATGGATGAAGTAATCAGTTGGCAGTTCCCAAGGCATCTTTGATGTATATTTCAAATTAAGTTCATTTTCTAGGTTGAGTTAATTGTCTTGACTACAGTTCTGTTAAGATGCATTCCTTGATGAAGTTGATTGGATAGTCATTGACTCTGAACACTTTATAAAGGTGGTTTCCTTCTGATTCCTGCAGTTACTCAGTGCTGCATGAATAGCACTTGTATGCAACTGTTCTTATGAGATGTTGGGTTGCTTCTGTTGTAATTCATAACTTGATCTCTGTGTCTATCACTTTCTCGTACACTTAAGTCCATAAGGTTCTGATAAGCACACCTAGGGACATGGTTTCATTATTTGCTTCCTGTTTAGTGAACTGAATACTTTCAAAGGTTTGTTTAGTGAGATTGAACATGTTTTCTAGTTCAGTTGTTTTGATAGTTACAAAAGTGTCGTTGATGTAGAAAATTCAAATTTTCAGTTTGATTATTCAAATGACTATCGATTCTAACCTCCACATCTTTTCTCCAGCAATGAGTCCATGATAGTTCCTCTTGTTTGTAGATGTTGCCCTTGAAGTGAAAGCATGTTGTGAGACGTACGTCGATTAGTTTTATCAGCTTTGTTGCAGTAATTCTACTATACTTTTGTAGATTCTGGTCAATTCTGTCCTCATACGTTCACGCAAACTGGTATACGCAATAGAGTGAGACTTAACCATCTATGTAATTATCAGGTTTATGTTTGAGCATAGATTTCATTTTCTCTATAACAATGAGATTGCTTTCGCAATATGTTTTTCTAGTAACTGAACTAAATCTCCATCCTCCGACCTTACCGAATAACAAATAACCCCAGAAATTCATCAGTCAGCACAAAAGTGTTTCAACGTTACGAAGTACTCAGCATTCTGTCCCGATAAAGGATGTGTATATCAGAAGTATCCTATAGTGAAGTGGTAACCAAATAGTATAATCTTAAGACGAAGAGTTAATTCAGTTATTAAAAAAACAAACAGAATTTGCACTCAAGCTCAATACTGTTGAAATAACAAAACCTATACTTTGAAACAAACTTCATCACTATGTACATGGTTGCGTAACATCCCGTTTTCTATACCAGTTTGCATGTGGATAGCTAAAAAAACAATTACATTCAAATAATCCAATAAATATACGATGCAGACTTGAATGAAGTAGGGATCTATTTCTTTTTACTCAATCACCTCCCAGTTAGGTTGATTCTAAACTTCATGCATGATCGGAACTAGAGTCCTTAGACTTATCAACGAATAAGTTACCGTTAGATTGCTGACATAGAATATTAACCTACTGTTCATCAGAAATTTGACTTAATATGAGTATTTATTAACAACTTCTCCAGTGATCTAGTGGGTAACGGTTTGGCATTCGAAGCGATTTCTCCTTGGTTCGAATCTCAGTGGGAACAACATTCACTAGGATACAGGAATATCCAACTGATGAATCTTCAATAGGTTGAAATGTACATTCTGAATTCCAGTGTTAGCACCCAAGCAAACTACAACATTAAGGCGAATATATTAAAAATTTACACAGGAGACCCCAACGTGTTACACTAATCATGTTAGCGATCAGAGACGGGCAGCTACCGAAGATAATGAATCATGACTGCGACAGGCTACTTGATTTCAACCTATTATTTGAATGAATAACAGGTTCACTGCATATCTTGGATCTACCGGAAGAGATCTGAATGTGATTTGAAGCTGGTACTATTAGTATCCCTTTAGAGTCAGTGAGAAAATTCTAGAAACCAAGCAACACACTCAGAAAATCTACTCAGTTCCGAAGAGAAGACTTCGTTTAAAAACGTTGACTTCAGATCTCAATGATTAATATTGGCTAGCAGTGGAATCGAGTGAAACGTTGCAACAAAAAGGCAGCCAATACAGAAATTGTTTTTCACATCATGATTTATGCATGCACTGACATAATTATCCGATTGGGCGAATTCAACGTCATACAACAAATCGAATTGGTTCATTTATGGCTTCATTTTCTGAGAGTCTTGTATATATATATATATATATATATATATATATATATATATATATATATATATATATATATACCATGTATTCGTCCAGTGGAGTTGTGGTTGTTGTTGTTCTCTAGTCATAGTATTTCTTTTGCTCCCCGGTTTTCGTGACTCAGTAAAGTATAGGGTGTGGGGAAGAACAGTCGCATTACTTGTGTCCAGTCAAAGTATCTCGTTGTGTTATTACCTTGTTTGCGTATTATTAGAACCCACATACCAACTCTCAACTCAGTCACATCACCTAGGACACGCGATTCTTCTTATTTGAGGCCAACCAGCTTGACGTACCTGCCTCCCAATGAGTGGTGTCCCCTCTGGGACTCGAACTTTGTACCAATATGCCACTAGAACAGAATCCAACGGTTCACAGGTTAATAAATGGATCTGTTGGGAAGAACATTTTTCTTCACTAAATTGCCTTTGTTACCCTAATCTTATTCACTCTGAAAAATATATAAACCAATACGAAGAAAGTAATTAAATTATTACTCACGAGAATCTCCAAACATTCAACACTGTCACGAATACAACAATAATGAAGTGGCGATGCTCCTCGTTCCCCTTCTGCGTTCACATCGACAGTTTCTGATTCCAGTAATGCCTAAAACGATAGTGTTCGTATAATATAATGGATTTTATGTAAAATAACGGCCAAAACATACTACTTTCAAATATTTATCAGTAATATATATATATATAGTGGGGTTGAAAACTTACTAATTGCATAACAGGTGCAATTCAGTAAGTGTGCATAAACGTCCTATAATACACTGCGATAGGCATTTAGCTTAGCAGACCTCGGCAGTTAGGGAGTTTCAGACGGTATGACGTAAAGAAAGAAAGCCAACTATAGTCATAAGTACTATTCACTAACCATAACTACTTACAGGCTGTTTCAGAAAGGTATGTTGTGTAAAATAAGGTATCGCCGTATAAAGTCCATCAAGACCTCTGATTAAAGGTGATAATAGTTAACACTGTTTCTGAAATTAACGACGGATAGTTGCTAGAAGTAGATTCCAGTACTTCCGTTTCATCATATTTGAGCCTCACTGGTAAGTTGGATTTACCTGCATCCCTTTCGAAGCGATCGGTCCCGAGTTACAGCCGTAGTGGGGACAGTATCGTTCACTGATAAGCAAGTATATCAGCCTGACCAGTCCCAAATCGATAAAAAATTTTGTTTAGCCTGAAATTTCGTGATTCTTTGGACTCCTCAGTATGATGTGTCTTCAAACTCCGGGGAACTGGTGTTACCTTAAGGATTTGAACTTGCATCGCCCAACGCTGTAGGGTAAAACGTTCCTACTGAACTATTCCGTAAGGTTGACTATAAGAGATTAACCAGATGTGTATTATGCAATTAAAAGTGCTCTGCTGCGTAAAATTCCCTAATGTAGTGACCAGATTGTGAAGTCACTGAGAAAACTAGACAACCTAGAACTGGTGACTTTTTAGTGACTAATCAATGTACATAAAGACTTTTCTAAATCTTTTTTCTCGATAAATGGGCATTAAATAACGTTCCTGAATGTTTTGCTTATCAAGCAGATAGATTAAACAAACTTGAGACACTTTCTATCCATCGTCTAGGCAGTATTTAGTCTTGTCAGCCCAGACTGTGGACACCGCTACGACGGTTAGAAATCTTGCCTCATTATCCTCTAAACGCGCACTCATCAGATGGTTCTGTGGATGAAATGATAGAGACGGTTGATGACAAACATTTATCTGGCATCCTAGCAACACAACTATGGTTCCAGTCCATGAAAAGTCAAGCTGTTACATTCTCCTAATACCTTAAACTGTTTTAGATTTCAGTGCATGAGTCAGGTCATTTCCTCTAACCTGAAATAACTCACTCAGTCCTTTTTTTCTTGTAGTCGCTATTTGCGAGTCATTCACCCTCTTAATACGGTGTAGGTCATCAGTAAAAAGTAATCATCATCACTTTCACAGTTATGCTTAAAATAATAGCCTACAACAGCCAAGTCTTACAACTGTACAGTGTTAAGCAATATACTTGTCCTTCCCTATTCTACCTGTGATTTTTCTTTCCAACCAGTCCATTAGGGCTAATATGAATTGCTATTTAAGTGAATTGGTCAACGGACTCTGCGAATTTACTGTCTATGCAGAAGATCACCTTCCATTCGACAAATGTAAAACGTTTACCAGATTTATTAATAACAGGCCTTATGGATAGTAAATATCATTATGAATTCATAATTCTTGTCTGGAATAGTATATGATTTAAATCAACAATCATGACCGCTGAAGGTAGAAGATATGAAGAGACCACAGATCTTTGGTCACATGTGTTTTTATAGCACTGCTCATGCATAATGGAATAATCATCTGATAAATATCGTGTTCCATCGAAGAGTATTATGTAATTAAGGCAAGTTCGTCAATGAGGTTGTTAACCATCATCGAGTGATGTAACACTGGCATGTGTTGCGCATACGAATCACTGCCTTCCTCAATACGTGATGGTATCCGAAGTAGGATTAGATAAGTAAAAGGCCAACTGGATGAGCAGACCAAGGCATGATACCAGTTCATGAAATCTCTAAATATCAGTCTGAGCTGTCTTGCTTTACATGTTTTTTGGAAGAACGTCTGACTATCCATACAACCTTATCAAAGGATGTTTGTCGAATTCGTCGTCAACTAAAAAGTCATCCTCAGAAACTAACCCAACAGCTTATCTTAGTTTACTTGAAGAATGTCTCCGAGATCGCGACTAGTTATTAAAGCCTAGAAAATTTTTACACATTTTCTGTTATAAAGGCTAAGACATACCATAGCAAAGGAGGAAAAAGCCAAACGTTATCTACAAAATAGACTTCAGAAATTGTGAACAACACTATGTTGGATAGAGAGGTCGCCTGCCGTTTACGTATCTCTCTTCATCAACATCAACTAGGAGTGAAGCATCATGAAATACTTTCACTCATATCAATGTGGATATGAAGTTGACTAGAAAAATGTAGCAATTCTGGATAGAAGAAATGCAGAGGATGCCAGAGAATTCTTAGAAGCTTGATATTGAAATCAACTAGAGATCAACAGACATTTTGACACTGACCCGACCTATCAACCAATAAGAAACATCAAGAGGGTCAAACTTCACGTTGGTAGAACAATCAATCAAAATACATATGGAGACAATGGCAAGATTTTAGCATGGACAATCAGTCAACCCCAAGGTCATAAAGACAAGCTACTAGGGGACTTAAGGAGAGAATCTTATAGCTCACCTCTTAGTGAAGTTTATGCTCATGAAAATGTTGCCTAGAAGGAAAGAGAACACGACAACATTAAAATTATCCTCCTGAGCTACAAATACTCTTCATCATCTCAAGATAAGCTTTTCCACGGCACATAATTATGACGATATCTTCTGTGATACTTGATTAATGTGGATGTCATGAACAACTGAGGAGGATATTTGATACATCGACAAAACAACTTGTGGTTTTCTACAATCTTGTTTAACCTGACCATGTTAAATAGTCTTTTCTTCACTTGTCTGTATATCCTCTGTCTTTATGATGTAAATCTGTAAGCAGTTAGTTAATACTCCTGACGTAACATCTTCACAATGTATTGAGAAGTCGTAGATACTAACTTCTTGAGCTGAGTCTACACACTTAATCAAGTTGTCTACCCACTCATTTTATATTAAAGAAGTAGCGCTTAAGATAGTAATAATATAATAGATAGTGACTTTTTGTGAGATCTAGTAGGAGCGTTTTGTCCCCCTCGGGACTCATCAATCTCTCAAAGAACGGTATGATCCCCACTGAGACTGGAGCCTAGCACTCACCCGCTTGAAACACCTGAGCACTGTACACTGCATAGTATCAAGATATGATAGCCACTCCAAGTCTTACGGGTACATTACATCATATGTGCATAAAATCAATGAAGATAATAAGAGACAGACACTAGATGAAATTTACCTTCAATATACCCACATAATTCTTTTCACATGCGATATGTATCGGTAGAAGACCATCTTTATTCGGTATTGTGGGATCGGCATCAACACTAAGCAGATAGCATACCATTGATAAGTGACCTTCTTTGACAGCTAAATGTATTGGTAAATTACCATTTTCATCTGGTTCATTTACTTCTATTAAACAAAAGACAAAAAGACACAATGAAACATTGAACACATGTCTGCCTAAACTCGTTATCAGCCTAAATATAACATCCTACTAAAGTTGACCTGACATCTTCAGAGAAAGCACAGAGAACATTCATATTTGAACACTAACGACCGGGGGGGGGTTAATTAACAGTTAACACCAACCAGAGAATCTCTGAAGCACCAGGTGCCTGGTTCGTCCTGGTTTGAAACTCCTCAGAAGCGCATAGCCACAACTTCTTGTGTTGTGTGTGTGTGTGTGTGTGTGTGTGTGTGTGGAGGGGTTGAACCCATGACCTGCAGGTCTCTCGTCGAATACATTATCATTTGGTTACTGGATCAGAATCCAACACCCCGGGAACACTTCAATACTTGAACTATTCAAGTATTTACCATTAATATTTCCTGCTAAACATTTACTCAGAACTTACGCATAGGATTAGTCTATCCATAGATGAAATTGTGTCAGGTGTATAGGTGTATCTGATCTACACAGTTTTCAAGTTCCAGGACAAAATATGCAGATAAACAGAAGAATTAGCACTGCAATTATCAATATATCTAGAACTAGATAACAGAAAATTGGTTCCTCTTCCGTGAACAATTACTGTATCTAATCCTGTCAAACATGAGCTCAACTTCAGCCCGAATATCTCAGTGGTGACTTCACTAACTGCAACACTGGGTTACATGGGTTCGAATCTCATGAAGGACATCATTTCCCTGTAGGTTGCGGATACCTTTTTCTGATGAGTACCAACAACAGCAAAACTTAGGTCAAATAGGGCTTTCTACTGATTGCCTCCAACCAACTAATATACATCAAAGTCCACCACCATAGTGGTCACATGGCGAAATGATAGACAGAATCCGGTTAGCCCTGAGGATTAGACAACATGAAACTGGTTACCCTCAAGTGAATAGTCAATGTAGCTAAGTTAGGTTGCAAAATAAAGCACAGATGGTGATTTAATGACTGCTGCCAGCAGGATACCAACACACTTTGAGAGATATCTGAACCTCAGGTTGTCACATTCAATGTCATTTAAAGCATGAGGTGATTTTGAGGACCAACCTGGCAACTACTGCAATAACCAGTCAGACTTCTTTATTATATCTACCTTTCCAGACAAGATGAAGGAACCTAATTTTTCTGATTGTTGCTAGGGTGGGATTTAAAGTAGACTAGACCATGTCAAATGGGGTATTTAAATGGGGTGACTTTAATAGCCAACCTAGCAACAATCGAAATAACCAATTCGGTTTCTACATTTCTCTGGAAAGGCATATTTTCATAAAATACAGAATTCCAATTGGTTATTTCAGTTGTTGCTAGGGTGGTGCTTAAAGTTGCTTAAACTATGAATCGTATACTTGACAAATCATTCCAATATTATATCAGGATGACTTTAAAGGCCACCATAGGAATTGATGAGATATCCAACTACATTCCTTTATTTCATGGAAAAGTACTTTTCCAGGCGAAAACCAAAGTGCTTAGTCATTTCAGTTGTTGTTACGGTGGCCTTCAAGATGACTCATACACCAAGGCTGAGTGAGCTAGCCTGCTGAAAGATTGTGAATTAGGAAAACAATGTGACGAATGTCTCTAAATGGTCGCCTTAGCAACCATTGCAATAACCTACAGAAATCTGATTGGCCAGCCATTTGTAGTAGTTAGGATGACTATTAAAGCTACTCCAAGGTGGCGAATGCTACGGATGCTTAATTGTCTACTTTCATCTCATCCGGTTTGTCAAAACTATGCAGATAAGAGTCAATGTCGAATTTCATCAAAAGTTGTTACTCATTTTGAAGAAATATCTGCGGTAAATAGTAACCAATCTTATCTCATTTGTTCCCATAACCAAGATAGATCGGGATCTAACCTCATGCCCTTCTGGCTAGCAGTCGACTGGCTTGACTAATGAACGACATCTCTACTATGCGGTAAGTATACATCATCATTCTCTTTGTCTTCCAACTATGTAAGCTAAACTCCTAAACCATTTATCCATCATGGATAAATAATAATAATAATGATATATTTTTCAGATGGATGGGGATTTTTTAATTTAGGACTAGTATTCATCACGGACTGACATCAGTTGGGGAACCATTGAAAATCTGGGATCACTGGACAGCTGTTTCGTCCTAGTATGGAACTTGCTTCCAGATGGATATCATGAAGCTCTAATGAGAAGCCGTGACCTGTGGGGTCAACCAGTCGGAAGTGAAGTGGATGCTAACTGAAGACCTTGGGTGATAGTCACGCTATGTCGTGAATTGAAAAAAGTTGGAAATTGTGAACCACTGGAAACCGACCCAGTGGCTGAATGGTTAACACGTTCGCCGTGAAACCTGAAGGTCCTGAGTTCGGTCTCTCGAGGAGTCGCAGGTGCGTACTGTTGAGGAGTCCCATACTAGGACGAAACAGCTGTCCAGCGATCCCAGATTTTCAATGGTTCCCCAATTGATATCAGTCCATGATGAATACTACTTCTAAAATAATAATAATATAACAAATCAGTTAAAAAAAACCCAAATAATTACAATCTAACTCACTTGCTTTATGAGCAATTAAAATACTTGCACATTCTAAATGACCTTTCATGGCCGCATAATGCAACAGAGTACGTTGATTTGAATCATGTTGATTTAGCATAGATGGATTATATGATAAGATTTCAATCAATTTATCGATTTCATTCGATCCAACATACTTTATACCCAATAGAAAATAAGAAGAGGAAATGACCAGTCAGAAAAATCAATAATTCCAACCAAATTATATATATATATATATATATATATATATATATATATATATATATATATATATATATATATATATATATATATATATATATGAGATAGCCGTGATTCAACAGACTTGCATTACTCATACTGGGTGATGATTGATGCTGAAATAAAAAGCTGGGTGATGGCATGATTCTAGTCAGCGGCCTCCACGTTACCGGCTAGGTGCTGCACCAGCTGAGCTACGAGAACTGACTGCAGACGATATTTTCATTTGACTTTAATCACTGAGAGTTTTCATTACCTGCTGTGTGAATTTGTGACGAGTTACTACTGCTTGATCGTACTCAAACTGGCTGCTCAAGTCACCACTTGTCATCCTGATCCAAATCGACTTGAATTAGATAGAGGGAGGATTATATCGGTTATGAGAGTGACTACCTGAGATAGCTGAAGTTTTGGTACTCTGGTGTTATTGATGATGGCCAAAGGTGACCAAAGTGGGACTCGAACTAGTGTACATGTGGGAACAATTATGTAATAATTTTGCCTTGAACACGCTATGAAGTTACGAGCCATTCAAAATGATTGTTTTCGATTTTGCTGAGAATCTTGAAACATGACCACGTTGGAGCTCTGTAATCAGAACCAACCAGATGTTCACCTATGCAACTATCTGCGGAGTTGACAGCCAAAAGGATGATGTTCTAAAATATGACTTATGTCACTAGCCTCATAGCAACAAGTAACCACATTGAGGTGACTCATTGGCGTAATTATTTCCAGATGGAAAAGATAATTCATGGTCCACTAGAAAAAGTGTCTTCCGTTAGGATTTGGAGATTCGTTTCTGCATCACCATCATGTTCAATATTCATGGATAAGATTCTCTTCAGAACTGTAGGAAGTCATTATGTTTCAAGTTTTTCTTAACAAATCTACTGAAGTAACCATTTACAACTCAGCCTCAGTTGTGTGTTTTATGCAGATTCGTTTGAAGAGAGCCGTCTCATCTTTTCGTCAGTAGAACTGTCAGTACATCTCAGAAACCAGGGTAAGCTTGATCCGGTAATGGCAGATATAAAAAGTTTCAAGTAGATGATAAATGTGTCATTCTCAGATTTCTTACGTAGACAGAGGTCTTCACTCATTGGTTGTAACCCACTTTCCTTAAAGTCTACCATAAAGCAGTCTGCCAGCAGAGGATCACGAAGTGAGCCCATTGCTATATCGTCCGTCAACTGAGCTGTATGTTTCATTCCTAAATCGATAGCTTAGTACAGTAAGTCATTCTGTAAGGGAAACACCTCTTTATCCACCTATGAAAGACCATACACGGGACCAGATATCATAGACGCAAAAGGTTCTGGATGTTCAATTAATTCGGTGTTAACAATTGACTTATTCATTTTCTTTACAAATTTGAATAGATTTCTGTCAAGTCTGTTGTGTTATTTCTTAAGTATTATTTTCAGTGAATTATTTTTCAAGGTTTTTTTCAATAAGGAAGGTTTAATGTGATGACAAATTGTTTCGGAACGTATAAACGTGGCTTAAACCTCCTAATGGCTATTGATTCAACAAACTTTAAAATACGTCCCCAATAGATTTAATAGACAGGCTTAAATGACAAATGTACATCCCTTCTGTACCCTGTTTCAATAATGTTAAGCTATTGATGAGCTAGGAGGTTTGTTTCCATTATTATTAATTGTCCCTTGGGTTCCTAGTGGAACATAGGGCTTCAGTAGCACGTCTCCAGTGCACTCTCTTCTCTGCAATCTTTTCAACCTGCTTCCACGACAGCCCACAACCTCTCATTTCTTCCTCACACCATCTCCTTCATGTCACCCTCACTTTGGACGCCCAACTCGTCGTTTCTCATCTAGGTTCCACTTGAGTGCCTGGCCTGACGCTTGATGTCCCCAGTTGTCCTTCTCAGTGTATGCCCAATCCAATCCAACCCATCTACACTTCCTTCTGCATATTTGTTGAGCGATAAGTTGTTGGTTGGTTCATTGGCAGGCAGCCAGAGTTCCTTGTTGCTTATTCTAATTGTTCTGGCTATCTGATCTTCAGTATCGAGGAGGGGTAGGAAGCTGTTGATGAACATCTATAGTTTGTTGGAAATCCCTCTCGTATCCCGCCAAGTCTCTCAACCATCACATAGAAGCACTGACTTGACTGGATTAATGTTGAAAATCTGAATGTTGTTCACGCTTTGTGCTGAGTGCAGAAGAGCTCCACACTGGTTTCAGGTTAATGAACACCTGTCTTGCTGTCTTTCCGGTCCTGGCTTTCACGTCCTCGTCTGTGCCACTGCCGCCTGTAGTTGAGACGATGCTGCTCTGCCTAGATAGGTGAAAGAGACTACTTCCTTTAAGTTTCTCCCGTTGATGGTGACTATAGCTTGTTGTTCTTGTTGTTGTTGTTGTTGGTGGTGGTGGTGGTGGTTGGGTATCTTCACCACCTCTGTCTTCTCTATGTTCACTTGAAGTCTCGTCTTCGCTGACCTGCCTCTTCTGCCAACTTGTTGGATTTCGCATACAGATCTCCCGGTTTGTGTGGCATTACACACAAGTCATCGGCGAAATCCAGATCTTCTAGGTTCTGTTCCGCGGTCAAACAGCCTATCCCCCTCTTCTCTCTCCTCACTGTTTGCTGCATGATCCAGTTGACGACAATCAGGAATATGATGGGTGATAGTAGGCAGCCTTGTTTCACTCTTGTCTTCACTTCAAAGGCATCACTGAGCTTCCCATTATGAATTACTTGGCATGTGGCGTCTTCGTTTGTTTCCATGATGTCTTCTTATTGTTCTGTCAAAATCCACAAAGGGAACTAACTGTTTCACATTGGATACACTAACAAAAGTTTAAATTAACTTGTTAACCACAGATATAAAATTACCGTTGGATGTGAGAAAATTCAGTTCTGTTAGTCATATGCTTCAAATTACACCTTCCTCAGAGAGTTTTCCAAAACTTCAGAATCCAGTAAAGTGTAAATTAATATCTCTAATCTTATTTACTTAAAAAAGTCACAGATAGCTGAAATGAAAAGATGCAAGAACTTACTTGCACTTCAGATCACTAGTCAGTAGTTAGTGCAACAATTTAAACAAAGAATTGAAACAACTGAAAAGAACGTTCATAATTCATCATCATCCTCTACAGTTAATTAACAGATTCGTACAAAACACATAAGAAACAAAATGATAACAGTAACACAAGTAGAAAGGATTTCAAAGCCTCCATTATGTTACCCTATAAGGAAGGTACATTAGAAACTTGACATAGGATTCTCAACAAAGCTCGTATAAGGGTGGGATTTAAACCTACATATTCACTCAGAGATAAGCTTTGTCAGATGGCTTAAGGATCCGATAGAACCAATTCAGCCAAATAATCTAATCTATAGAATTCCATGTAATGACTGTGAGTCATGTGAGGTCAAGTATATAGGTCAAACTGACCGGTTGGAGTCAGTTGGAATGGTGGAACATAGTAATTGAGCTAAATATCGAATGACAGACCCGAATAAGATCAATAATCTAGAAAAACACTTGGCTATTGTAATGTATTCATTAAAACTCAAACAGGCAACAGGCTGGATGGGATAGAATCACTGTACTGAAGTCAAATATAATTAGGAAAGTAGGTAGGTAGGTAGGTAGGTAGGTAGGTAGGTAGGTAGGTAGGTAGGTAGGTAGGTAGGTAGGTAGGTAGGTAGGTAGGTAGGTAGGTAGGTAGGTAGGTAGGTAGGTAGGTAGGTAGGTAGGTAGGTAGGTAGGTAGGTAGGTAGGTAGGTAGGTAGGTAGGTAGGTAGGTAGGTAGGTAGGTAGGTAGGTAGGTAGGTAGGTAGGTAGGTAGGTAGGTAGGTAGGTAGGTAGGTAGGTAGGTAGGTAGGTAGGTAGGTAGGTAGGTAGGTAGGTAGGTAGGTAGGTAGGTAGGTAGGTAGGTAGGTAGGTAGGTAGGTAGGTAGGTAGGTAGGTAGGTAGGTAGGTAGGTAGGTAGGTAGGTAGGTAGGTAGGTAGGTAGGTAGGTAGGTAGGTAGGTAGGTAGGTAGGTAGGTAGGTAGGTAGGTAGGTAGGTAGGTAGGTAGGTAGGTAGGTAGGTAGGTAGGTAGGTAGGTAGGTAGGTAGGTAGGTAGGTAGGTAGGTAGGTAGGTAGGTAGGTAGGTAGGTAGGTAGGTAGGTAGGTAGGTAGGTAGGTAGGTAGGTAGGTAGGTGGAGAGAGAGAGAGAGAGAGATTACTGAACCTTTGTTCATCGAATCAGCAAGCAACACCAATACCAGAGATATGGAAAATTTTAATACCAATAAAAACCAAGAACATGAGATGACAGAAATATACAAAAATAAAAAGTCGAATGTGGTAGAATTACCTTCATATGATTATGAGTAATGATAATTTATGCTGGAAACCGCATCCAGCTAGAAATACTGTGTCAGTGTGTGCTGTATATCAAATAAATATACCTAACATGGAACTACATCTTACCATAGCGCTCAAGTTTTACACTTTTAAATTAATCCATACGGAGTTTGAAAATTTGTTCAATCAACTTCAGATGATCATCAGCGTTGGTTTAAAGGTGAACTTGTCAACATAACTCATCACTTCACAAAAGGTCATTCGAGACAGAAAAGCATGTCACCGCCATGAACATCTCAGAGCTCTGAAGGAACTATGACGAAATTCAGATATCTAATAGCACGCTCAGATCTGTCAACATTTCAGGAATTCTCATCTTCAACAAAACCAATTACAAATGTAACATATTCTCTATTCTTCATGATAATAGTAAATGCTGTCAAGATTTTTCTTCACAACATGTACAAATGTCACACGGAATGATGACGGCTAGCCTCACGAAACTCCTTACTTT